AGAATATGTGGCCTGCAGCAAGAGCTTATTCAGCACACAAGTTCAAGTTCTTTTTTGACAAGGTCTTAGCAGCTAGTCCAGATGTGCAAAAATGGCTGTCAGAGCACCATCCCTTTCTGTGGGCAAGAAGTAAATTCTGTGACGACATCAAATGTGACTACATCAACAACAATTTAGCAGAATCTTGGAATGCTTGGATCAAAAAACACAAGGACCTGCCTGTGCATATGATGGCTGATGCTATTAGAGAGAAGATCATGGTTTTGTTTGCCAAAAGGAGAAAGATTTCTACAGCCCTGTCTCCTGGTATATTGCAGGTTGTCATCCATCAACTTAATGCAGCATCAAGAGGTCTAGGACACTTGAACATTTCCAGTGGCCACCCTAATCAAGCTGAGGTTACAGAGGTCTACAAGGATGAAGAAGTTCGAAGACATATTGTGTATTTATCTCAGAAAATATGCACATGTAGACAGTGGTAGATAACTGGTAAACCATATCTACATGCCTTGGCTGTGATTACCAGCATGAGGCAACCTGACATGGGAGCATTTGTACACCACTACTACTCAATGCAAAAGTTTCAGGCAGCACATGCAGGCATAGTTCCTAACATAACTGATAGGAATCAGTGGCCTGAGGTGGACAAGGGCTTCAAGCTATACCCTCCAGCACAGAAAAAGAAAGAAGCAGATAGGCTGAGAAAGAATAGGATTAAATCAGCAAGGGAGGCGGGTGGAAAAGCTACTAGGCAAGTCAAGTGCCCTAACTGCAATGAGTATGATCATAGGGGTGGTAGCTGGAAATGTTCCCTCACTGGAACCAAGAAAAGGTGATTTCTTAACTCATGTATTTAATTTGTTTACTAGCTGTTGTAATTACTAACTTGTTTTGTTATTGTTGCAGGAAAAGAACCAAAAAGAGTAATGTTTAGGTTGGGAGGAAGAAAGCAAACAAAGGTGCTGCTGGTGATGAAGCAGTCACTCCAAGAACGAAAAGAGCACTGGCAAGGGAAGCTGCAGCAAAAGCAAGGAGGGATGTTGAAGAAGCTGAACTCAAGGCTGCGGCAGCAAGACAAGCAGCAGAAGCAGCAGCTAGGGAAGAAATTGAGGCTACAAGAAATGAGTTATCTGCAACTCATGCATAGGAAGATGTCCTGAAAGCCTTGACTTTAGAAGTTGATGTCCCAGAAACTACAAAAGCTAAGAGGTATGCTATTGAGTCTACAGCTAGGAGTTCATGTCCCTTGTTGTACCATGACTTTTATTGTTTTGAACAGGAACCTATTCTCAGAAGATGAACTGCAAATTGAGCCTGTCAAGAAAATGACACCTAGGAAGAAGAAGTTGACTAAGAAAGTGAGGAAGAACTAAGGATGAACTGGGAACTTAAGATGAACCGGAACATTGCTTTTATTTTGCTAAGAGCTTGAACTCTTGATAATACGTGTAATTGGCCAGAACTTTTATTTTGCATGGCCTTCTATTGTAATCAAATGGGCATAACTATCAGCATGTTATCGTGTGTAATGGGCAAAGGCCAAAAACTCTATGTATGGCCATAATGTGCCCCTATTTGGTTGTCAGAAACAAGTACTTTATGTAGTGATCTTAATTTTTCCATAGCTGATGTGCCTATCTTATTTGGTTGTCATATGTGATACTATGTCATGTGCCTCTATTACTTTGCATGGACACAATGTGCCTCTCTTATTTTAGATGGCCACAATTTGCCTCTCTTAATTAGCATGGCCAGAATGTTCTTATTTTTTTTATTGCCATATGATTCATTCAAACACAGACAACATGACAGTTCTAGGCCTGGGGGAAACAGAATGGGCGAGCGAGCGCCTGGGCCGGCCAATTTTCCTGTCTTTGAGCGGGCGAGCAAATGGGCAGGGGCAGCCAAGTCTTTTTGCAGGGCACTGCTGACTGTGTCATGTCGCCGTGGCGTGTCAGACGAGCAAATGTGGCAAAACGAAGACGCACGATTTTATAGATGGTAAATTTGTAAGAGACATTGTAAGGATGAGATACAGATGAGTGACGATCTTAATAACGGTAAATATGTAAAATTCCCTCTTTCATCCGGTGGCCGGTGCCGCTTAATTCGCTGCGTACTAGTACTTCTAGTAGAGCTACGGGATACGTACGTACAGTAGGAGTACTAGGTTGGCTACCACGGCAACATGCGTTGCATGTGCGACTGACCATCGAGCGAGCACCCCAATTCTCTTAAACCTGCCTCTCCCCATTAACAGCAGCTTGTTTTTAATATGGTTCGGGACTTGAGGCCGGCCAGTACCACACGAGTCCACGAACGAGAGAAAACATGTGAGCATCAACTAGTCGTACGGCGTGTTTCAAATAGTGATGGTCTGATCTTGCCTGCGCAGACTCGGCCGGGTCTTGCAAGACGGGGTTTGCACTTTTCGGGGACGCCCCCCGACGTGCAGCCGCACCAAGAAGAATCTGTGACCGCCGCGCCGAGCCCGCGCGAGAGGTGCCGTCCGTGCGCTGCATGTGCCACTTCTGCTAGTACTCGGCTAAATCCTACTATTATTAAAGGCATAATAATCCTCTCGGTGGCAAAGTTACAAACGCTACTGTACATCCAAGAGCTTTTGCGGAGGTACTCCAGGTGCCACGCATTGAACTGTTGTTTATTGTGTGGTAACAGAGCAACGGTCGTCAGCGCGCGAGGATGGATCTGGCGTGTAGCGCAAGCACGATCGGTGCAAATCGAAGTGTCAACAGACAGAGTAAGGTCCCGTTTGGCAGGGCTTCACTTCACTAGTGAAGCTATTTTTTTTGGCTTCAGCTCCATGAACAGTTCCACCGGTGGAGCTGAAGCGGTTTTGGTAAACCGTTTGGCAAAATGGCTTCCCTGTGAGAGCATGTTTTTAGGGGCCTGGAGGAGGAGCCGGGAGAAGCCACATTTTTTTGGCTCCATCCCACCCCAAATCATTGTGAGAGCATGTTTTTAGGGGCTTCACCAGTGAAGCTATTTCACTTTACCCCGTTTGGCATAAAACGGCTCCAAACGGCTCCTGAAGCTGGTGGAGAAGCCCTACCAAACGGGGCCTAAGGCAGAAAATCGATAACAGTGATTCGCCAGGGACAGTGGTTGCCTAGCGGTTTGAAATAAAAATCAATTCTTTTCATGGAAGTGGCAGCGCTAGTTCTGATCTGGTTATATATTGTAGAATCCCTGGCATAGAACCGCATGGCACATCATGAATTTGGTATGGTGGTTGTCTTGTTGATTTTTAAAAACGGCATAGTTTCTCACTATGACGACGACATGCCTAACAGAATTTCATGTCATTTCAGTCTGCCATTTACGACCGATGCCACGCTCTCAATCCAAGCATTTGGACCGCGCGCACCGCGATTTTACAGTAACCAACCCCGCTACCCTCACAGAATTTACAGTAACTACGATTGGGATACCCATACCCTAGCTGCTGCAGCTGATATTGCTCTCCTCACTGGCGCTGCCGCTGCCGCTGCCGCTGCCGCTGCTCCTGCTGCCGTCCGCGTTGCAGCTGTCAGAGGGGGGAGTGTGGCGAGGAGACGCGCGCGTGAGGGGGCACGTGTGGGAGAAAATTTCCGATGCAATTTTGTGTAATCGGATCGAAATAAAACTCATGCTCAAGTCTATATTTATACTTAATAATAAATAAACAAAATTTCAGGCCATTTTTTGTCCATCCATTTTTTGTCTGTTTTCCTTTAACAGCCGGACAACGAAGAGTATCATGTTCGAACTTATATATATGCCTGGTGCCCGCCCTCAACTATATATATACAGGAGGAAGGATAATTAAGATCGACCATAAGAGTTTGATGGGCGGCCATACATGGGCCCGTTCGCGTGCCCTTAAATCCGGCTTGATCCGCTTCTTTTTTTTATCCGGAACAGTGTTTTCCTCTCACAAATTCCTCCAAATTCATCCAGATTCCTCTAGAATTCCTCTGAACGAACGGGGCCATGGTGACACGATCAGAATCGAAAAGGTGTGGTGCAGGACACCGTGTTGGTTTCCACTTGCCAAAAGTTCCCATTGATGAAGGAAAGCTGGGGTGTCCTATGCCTATGCGCGTACGACATAATCCAGTTAACATTATATTAGTCTTTCTCTAATAATAAAAAGGTAAAATTTGTTTCATTTTTTGTCTAGCCTCTCCCTAAATAATTTGTCAATAGAAATAGAAAGTTTATACAAAACTACTACGGTTTGCAACAGGAGTTCGTTATTGTGTCCGGTCCTGGGCAAGCCAGAAAAAGAATCATGAGACTTCTTTTTTTTTTTCGAAAGATCAACCCGGCAACTTTCTGATCTTCACGTATGCTCGCTGCCTTGAGAATTCGAAACGAACTCGGGCGAATCGCGTCGTATAAATGTACGGCCGGCTGCGCGATTAACAGCGCCGACACGCGCAAGATCTAGGACAGCCATGACTGTGACGGGGCAGCCCGGCACGCACCCTACGTCAACCTCGACATCTTGGAGAAGCCAGTCGCCGCCGCGTGGTCCTCTAGGAACCAGCCCGCGGGCGCGCGCGTCAGCACCTTCGAGGAGGTGAATTTGCCTGAGCACCGCGCGTGCTCGCAGGACGCCAGCGAGCTCCGCGCCGAGGGCGCTGAGGAGGGTGATGGCCTCGTCATCAGCATGCGCGACGGCCAGGACGTGCAGTGTCCGATGAGTTTCGGGGCGCAACGTTCATGTGGTCGTCCGTGACGGACGAGGTGTCGCAAGGGGTGGGGCAGCAGAACAACAGCCGCCGGCGCGAGGTCCAGCGGCTCACGTTCCACAAACACCACCGTCGTCTCGTGATCGATGAGTACCTGCCGCACGTCCGCCGGAGAGCCCGTGAGGTCCTCTTCGGCAACCGCCTCCGCAGGCTCTACAGCAACAATAGGATCTCGCAGTACTGGTACTACGACGAAGACAACGCGTGGATAACCTTGATCCAGCGCACATCCGGCGGGGCCGGATGGACAAGCACATCGAGGCGTTCAGGATCCTGGCCAAGAACTACCTCGGCATCGACGCGCACCCGCTGTTCGGCGCCGTCGAGGAGCTGCTGATGGAGGTGGACATCGCCGAGTGCCTCATGACAGCCAAGAACGCCGGCTCCGAGGAGGATGCTACCTGATCGAGGAGCTGAAGAGGAAAAGGGAAAAGGCCAAGGCTTCGATCGACGGAGGCAAACGCGGCGAAAGCGGACAATGATCAAGACGTAAAAGAAGATGACGAGCAAAATTCAGAAGATTCAGGAGAAGAGGATGAAGAGTCGGAGGATTCAGAAGAATCTGACGAGTAGTCATATAGTACATAGTTACATACGTATACACCCTAAAGTTTTTTTTTCTTTCTATGAGAAGTACTTCCTTCCTAGATAGAGTTGCAGACTTGCAGTTATCTGAAGATGGTTGCTCAGTCCTGACTGAAGGTGTGTTTACGGAGTTGAACTTTAGATAGTGTCTTTAAACATTTATTTTTTGTTTTTCGAGCAACGCACTTTTGTTTATTACGTTCATCACCTGTCCAGGTAGCTTGATCGCGATCAACCCAGGCTGGTTACAGACTCCAGGAGGGGATCAAGCCATACACAATCACACAACCGTGACCGGTGGAGGTGCCCGTGCGATTTGCTTGTGGGATCTGGCTGCCCTTTTTTCTCCTTTATTTTTTTCTACTTTCAAAAGAAATAAAGGAGAAAAAAGGAAGAACAAAAATAAAAAGGCATTATAGGCATTTCAATTTTTTTTCTAACCATCAAACGTTTTTATTTTTATAAAAAGCTTCGGCTCCACAAGTAGAGCTGCTCTACCAGCTAAAGCAAAAAAAAAAGTATTCTACCAATGAAGCGGAGTTATATCAAACGGAGCATGAAATACACGAGGGCAAAACAGAACAGATGAGACGATGAGCTATTGAGTACTCCCCCGGCCGGCACCAAGCACGGTGACGCACATGGCCTGCCCAGAACTGGCCAGCGCCATCAGCTCTACGGCCTCCCTCGCCTCCAGATCCGAGAGCGCCCTCGCGCGCAAACCTAAACAAGCGGTCGATCCGCAATCAAGCACTGCCATCAAGCTAAGACGCAACGTGGACAAAGAAGAACTCACCAGCACAAGTGGAACGAAGGCCTTGGCACTTAGCTCCGAGGCGCCGATGACCCTGCTCAGCCTCGTTCCGCCTCCTGAATGGCCATTGACGCCTTGAGGTCGGCACCTGGATCGTCAGCAAACCGATCTGAGATCGATCTCGTGCCCTTTGTTCCATGAGCCGCTCCTAGGCTGAATCAACTCCTCCAATAGCGCTGACCAGGCCCTTGCGGAGATCCACCTGCGCTTTTTGGGAGGCCTCTAGTTCCTCCCACAAGCGCCGCACTTCTGTCCCCGCCTCGGCTACACGGTCGTGATCCACAGCGTTCCTCGACTGCGCCTGGAAGGCCAGGTGCAGAAACCGGGACTTCTCCATTGAAGTCCTCATCAATTCCTACAAGAGAAGAAAGAAGTAACCGTACCATCCAGCTGAAGGAACGACTCGCACAGTGAGCTCAAAAGACGAAGCAGAGCAGCAAAGCCTCACTTGCTCGCGGGGCGCGACCTCCTCGGTCATCAGCCGTTGGGCCTCCACGCCTAACCCGATGACTGTGGTGGTTGCGTCGACCAGCTTCGATAGGGTCGCCAGGACCCTCCCATGGCTCTGCGAGGCGTCGACCCACATGGCCTGCTCGACCATGTCGTTCACCACGAACAGAGCCTCGCGGGAACCCATGGGGTGCTGCCAGACGAGAGGATCTTCGCTAGGTCCGACCTCCTCATCGTGAGGAACTAGGGCTGGCTCACCAACATCACCGGCTGCCGTCCTCATGAGCGACAGATCGACGGCGGACGGCGAGTCCGCTCCCTCCTCCGGGACAGCAGTTGCCTCATCCTCACCCGCATCCAGGGCCTCCCCCTTGACCACGCCTACAGTCACTCCAGCGTCAAAGTAGCCCTCACCCGCGGCCGGTGGACACAAGGTCGCGAGGGGAAGCCATCGGGCTTTGGTCACCATGGCCTCGCTGCGATCCGATGGAAGGCCCGGCCGTATGGGTGGGTTCGCGAAGCCTAACGGCTTGGCGATCTCGAACCCGGGAAGAATCTCCCTACAACAAAACTTCCTGAAGACAATGAAAAAGACGGCATAGGCTCTACCGCTAAAAGAAAAGGGCTAGGGTGAAAGGTCCTAATATGGCTAGAGGGGGGTGAATAGCCTATTTAAAAATCTACAAATCAATTAGAGCAATTTTATTAGTATGACAAATAGTGAAATGCAAACTTGCTCTAGCTCTACAAGGGTTGCAAGCCACCTATCCAACAATTCTAGTTGCAATGATTACTAGGCACACAATTTGCAATGTTACTACTCTCTAAGAGCTCTCAATCTTGCTACTCTAAAGAGCTCCACTAGATGAACTTAAAATAACAAAGCAAGCTCTCAATTCTAATTACACTAAAGAGCTTGCCACAACTAGTTTGCAAGAATATAAATGAGTGAGTAGGGTGATTATACCGTCGTGTAGAAGAGTGAACCAATCACAAGGTGAATATTAAATCAATCACCGGGAGAATACCAAATGGCAAGAGACAATCAATTTTCTCCTGAGGTTCACGTGCTTGCCAACACGCTACGTCCCCGTTGTGTCGACCAACACTTGGTGGTTCGGCGGCTAAGAGGTGTTGCACAAACCTCGTCCACACAATTTGGACACCGCAAGAACCTACCTACAAGTGAGGTAACTCAATGACACGAGCAATCCACTAGAGTTACCTTTCGGCGCTCCGCCGGGAAAGGTACAAATCCCCTCACAATCACCGGAGATGGCCACGAACAATCACCGACTCGTACCAATCCTCCTCCGCTGCACCAAGCCGTCTAGGTGGTGGCAACCACCAAGAGCAACAAGTGAATCCCGCAGCAAAACACTAACACCAAGTGCCTCTAGATGCAATCACTCAAGTAATGCACTTGGATTCTGTCGATGCGGAACCCACAGGATACCCCGCAAGAGAGAGAGAAGATCTAGTCCAACTAGGATTCTTCCCATGTAATCTCAGTAATAGAACTATTAAGTAATCCTACTAGGAAATCTCATTGTAAACCGATTAGGACCCTGGCCTCCTGACTATATAAAGGAGGGTAGGGCTCCTGAAAGAGGACAATTGGTGCGACATAACACTTCATAATCAATCCAACGCAAAAGGCAAACGCCGATTGGACGTGGGGTCATTACTCGATCTACGATCGAGGGCTGGTTTCAGATAAATCGATTTGTCTCTTTGCGTTCACCATCGAAGTTCAACATACGCCGAGACCGAACGACATCGCCACGGTACCCCGTGGTAGGCTATCGATGGTAAAACATCGACAACCGGGCGCGCGCGGGTAGGGGCCTTCGGCGACTTTGCATCCGAGAGCTCGATGGACCTCAATAACATGATCTTCCCGACGGGATCGATTTTCATCTTGGCTCGTGGATCTGCGAGGCGGAACAACCACGACAAGCTTCAAAGTCATCTCCTCAAAGATCCGGATCATCATGAAGAATCCTCTACTCCGACAACCACGACGGATCAACTCATCGGAAGATTCGCGCAGCTCATAATACCCGATTGAATAAGATTCCATCCGACTCGAATTCAAGCTCCGTGATCCAAGAGATGAAGCCTTATTCGAAAGTGCTTTCAAGAAGTCGAGTTCTTGTTTGGCAAGATTTCGAATACAAACCAAAACAACTCGGATTACCCTCGAGTTTTTCAAAAGGCCGAGTTCTTTTCCATTTGGGCTAGACAACACGACAAAATCCTACTCGGGGGACAGTTTGAAAGGTCTTTCAAATCAACACTTGGGATACCACTGACAGGAGCTCAGGAGGGCCTCGTTCTAACGATAACATCGCAAGACTGTATCATCCACTGGCCAGGATCTGTTCCTGAGGATAGCGAAACCCAACTAGTCGGCACAACGACAACAGCTATTCTACCTTACCAAGAGGAGACTCAATCACGACGCCGAGGCGCGCTAATGAAGTCATCAAGCAACTCCGGCGAAGATGACAACTAACGACAATAACGGAACAGCTCACGCACGGGAAGTACTGATGGTTCGACGCCCTCGGTCGCCATTAAACCCCCCAGAAGCACCCGATGTTAGGTCATCAGATGAATCAGAATCCAACATATCACCCTTTGCTCAGGGCTACGATGGAGAAACCGAAAGTCTAGAGACCAGGCTCGAGAAAGGAAAAACAAGTTGAAACAAGGCGCCAAAGACACCGCTCGACGGCAAAGAGAGAAGCTGGACTAGATACGAGTCAGAATTGGCTGAATACGACAAAAGAAAATCACAACAAGAGGCCGAAGGGAGACGCACCGTGAGTACGCCTTACGATAAGATTCGAGAAGCATTAGAAGAACTCAGGGCAACTTCACATCACGGGAGAGGTACGAACAACTCAGGACTTGCTCGGTCAACGATCCCAAGAACACATGAAGAGAGAACCCGATCAAGAATACCTGCCAGATCAACAACCCATAGGCAAGAAGATCAAAATCAAAGGAAGTCCGCTTTTGAAAGACTTGGACCAGGCGGAAGCCATAACGGGGAAAGCAGGAGGGAACATAGTCGGGGCCATCAATTTGAACAACCAAGGAAGACCAAGAGTAGAGGGCCTACCTGCAGATGACCTCATGCAGAATTATTCCCATCAAAACAACACTTGGCCAGAAGAAGGAGCCGAATCCGAATTCAAGGAAGTCGGAACGCATGACAGATTCCCCTGTTTTGCAAACAGATTGGCATCAGTTCGATTACCTCACAAATTCAAACCGTCTAATCACTCCAAGTATGATGGCAAAACCGAACCAAGACAATGGCTCAGAATATATTCACAATCAATTGAACTAGCCGGAGGAGACGATGATATTAAAACCTTGTTCTTCCCCATGGCACTGGAAACAATGCCCCTCCAATGGTTTGATAAATTGAACCCAGGATCGATTAGAACTTGGGAAGACTAGCAAAGAGCTTTCTGCGAAAATTTCGCAGGTATCATCACACACCCGATCACTCATGCCGAACTGAAAGGACTCAAGCAAAAGG